TTTATAATTTAAATTTTACACCTCAATCGAAAAATATGTAAGCCTTTTTTTTAACTATTTTTTATCGCTTTATATATAGATCACCATAACTTTATTAAGTTTTGTAGCTATTGTTCTCATTCTTTTCATGGATCATCTCCAAGCTCACTCATCTGTCTAGGATAGTTGCATGTTAACTGTGATCATCTATCTAGTTCAATCCATGTGTTATTTATACAATCAAGTGCAAAGACTGATCTAGTCAAGCATGATCGCCCTAGTTTATTGTAATGCTCAATGTTATATTCTATTTTATTCCTTAATTTGTAGTCATTTGTGGAGAAACTTGTGATGAGTGTATTGATGATCATCCAAATTTGTTACATGATTCTGTGTATGCAAAACTTCATTCTTGTAAATTTTCTATTCTCATAAAATTTTGTCAACAGAGCTTCATTTCATGGAACAAACTGTGCATAATATTGAGAGAATCGATATTGGTCACTATTTTGAGTATTATATAAACACACAATATATATATATACATATAAACAAAGGTTTTCATCTACATTGTGTTAGGTATGACTCATATCTAGGGAGTTGTAGTTTCTTGTGAAGAGGTGTGTCTCCTGGTGAAAAGGAGTGTCTCTTGAAATAAAGGGGGTTGGGGGGAGCGAGGGCTTGTAATTTTATCTGTGGGTTTGTGTATGTCTATATATATATATATATGTAATCCTATGGGATGATAATTGTAACACCTCTAAAATAGTGAACTTGCCGCTCGCTCCCGAGGACGTAGGCAATTCTTTCCCGAACCTCGTTAAAACTGTGTTCTTCTTCTGATTTGTGTCGATTCCTATTTTATTCCGCTTCAATTTTCACAATTCATTGGCAAAATGTCAAGACAACAAATAAAATAAAAATAATAGCAAGTTAATTACCGCTTTTAAGATATTGCTTTAAATGCGTCCTGATCGTTCTACAGTGTCTGATGTTTTGCACTATTCATTCTATCGTGCGCTTGTCGCAACAAAAAATTAATAGTGAAAAAAATAATAAATTGCTAAAGGTAGCATCAATAGATTAAATTGCATGTGATAACAATTTCCTACAATATGATTACATTAATTACATGTTTGCAAGCATGGTGAATAACTTCAATGTGGTTTTTTTTTCTGTCATTCAAATTTGTCTTGCAAAATTAAATGATACTCCTCATCTGTAATATTTTTAGAAAATTTTTTATTTAAATTTTGATCAAAATGAACCTCAAAATCATTATAAAAAAAAAACATTTTGTATATGCAATTTGATCCTCGTGTTTTATTATATTTCACAAAGATTACTTTTTTTTTTTTTTCAGAATTATAGATATAATACTTTTATCCAGATTTGCGAACCATTTTCTTAGAAAAGAATAATAATCAAAATACATTATACATTTGAATTTTTGAGTGTCGAAAGTATTATATTTGTGAAAATTATGATCTCTTACGACAGGTAGGGTGGCAGCTTATCATAGATCAAAAGACCCTTGTGGACTATTGGACAATTGATATTACAATTCAACACATTAGATTGGCAAAACAATTAGAGGTTTTGAAATATTAAATGAAATATAGCACTCCAGAGTGTATATATATATATATAGTATGAAAATTCCTATAAGGATGTTGCTTTTAGTTTTCATTCTGGCATATATATATATATATATATATCAATAAAGAGTAATACGAAAAAAACAAATTAATACAATTAGCTTTCAAAAACTAATACGTCAATATGAAGAGAGCACTCCAGGGAAGCGATTAGCAAACCCTCAAGCTCGTATGTGAGACAAGAAATCGACGAACGAGTATGTGTTTAACCTTTAAATAAAAAAATAGACCTCTTATAATTAAGCAGAATAAACACTAAGTCTCATACAATTTGATTTTTTTATTATTATTATTTTTTTTTTGCATTCAACATTTCAAGAATCATTTATAAAAACTAATCAACTTTTTAATGTTAATCTCAAATTTTAGTACTAAACAAATACAAACTTATACGATTCTCGTAACTACACTAAAGATGTGTTTGGGCCTGCGGTGCAGGTTTTTTTTAGTTTCGCAAAATTACATTTTATATGTTTTTTTTCAAAAAGCCGCATTTTGTCATCAGACCTGACTGAGTGTAGTGGCTGATAGAAAGCTGCAATTTGAAGTTTCAAAAAAAAAATTATAATAACCGCTACAGCCTTTTTATTAGCAACTTATTTTGCAACAGCCTCACAGCTATTTTTTCAAACACTTGCATTTGCTCAAAACGACCCTAAGTAATGAAATTAAAGAGGAGCTAAAGGCTAATCTCACTTTGTAATTTTAAGAAAAACAATTATGCAATTATATGTATCAAGAAAATTTTATCTTCTAATTACTCGGCAATAGAAATTGTGTCTCATCTAAATTTAAATTAAACCTTTTGCTACTACTTGCGTTGGTGGCTAAACTTCAAAGTTGCTTCTAAAGTAGAATAATTGGGTGATGTATATTCAAAGGACTCAAAGACCATGATATATAATAACACTAGGATCGCCTAGACCAAAGGATCACTTGTTGATTAATAGATAGAGTTGGTTTTGTGTCCCAAAAAAAGAGAGTTGGTTTTGAGTCCCAACAAGAGTGGACAATTGAATACTATTGACCACGCTGTGAGAGAAAATGATGAGGCTTCTGTGTGAAGGTTGGAAAATAAATCAAAAGGTAAATGAAGATGTTAAGAGTCATTTTCAAAAGGGTAAATTAGATGCCATGGAGCTTTGTTGATGAAAGTAGAGGAATTGGTTATTATTAGAAGAATGATTCGTAAATGAGATATGAAAGAGCAGTTCTATTACAAATATTGACTAGAGTGGAAGAAGACCAAAAGAGAGCAAATAATATTGATAGGACCCATCTAATGAATTTTTAACAAAAATGTTTATTGGCTAATATGTATAAAATAGTTTATATAATTAAAGAGTATAAAAGCTTTAAAGGTAACAATCTTGTGGAAGGCACAAATAAGTTTAGCCTAATGAGACCCTTGGATGAAAGAGAGAAAAATATATAATATTTTGTTAACCTAACCATGAGAATGTTTGTAATGACTTTATAGAATTAAAAAAATAAAATAAATTTATATTTCTTGATGGAATCAAGGGCTCTAGGTTTGAAAACACAAGAATTTGGCAATAGAGAAAAATATAAAGAATAAATATGATGAAATCTTTATCATTGATGTCCTCAGTAGTTTGAAAAAATTCAATTATATAATCGTCGACACAAAAGTTTGCCAATAATGTGATATTATAGATTAATGAACAAAAAACTTTTAAATCAGCAATAAGATACACATATTATAAAACTTCCAAATATTCAATCAGCACCCCAAAGAGAACAGTGACTAGGGAAGGTCTCAAACTGCATATCAAGTCATTTTTCTACCACCTATGATTATAAGAAAAACAATCCGCCTAATAAAAAGCTGATAAACCTCAAGTCAACTAAATAAAAATTTAAATTACCAAATTATATAAAATGGCAATCAAATAAATGACCCATACTAATAAGTTTAGAATGTTGCATCATTAAATTATTAAGAATATGAATTTAATCCACAAAATTATTAGAATGCCGCAAATGCTTATTAGTTCTTTGCAAAGCCCAAAAAATCACCATGAAACTAAAATCACAATCTAACACAATGTGTTTATTGCTTAATGAATTTCGCTAATGTCGCTAACCCTACGGTAAGACGTCAACATGTGAGGACAACAAGATGGTAATTAGTCATGTACGGGTCCCTTCTCCATGTATGACTAATAAGGGTATAGACTCACTCAAAATATTTTCCAACATTTGGCTCTCTTCGACTAATCACTAAAGTATTATTGTTGTATCTATAAGTTTGATAAGCTTGTCGAGCTTCCCAAGCTAAAATATTCTCCGACCTTTCCACTTATACATATTTTTACACTTACTTTATATATATAAATATATTATTATATGCATTTTATACTACATTTTACTCTTGAAATATCTAATTGCTTTAAACTTTGAACCCTAGATTTATAATAAGTATCAATGTAGAGACATTTCATTAGGATAAAATGTTGAAACATAGCATCTATGAAGACACATAACTTCATATTATAAAATGTTGCAAAGTTCATCGGCAAGTTTGTCGGTAATAGGATTAAACTCAATTAAGTTGAGAATGGCCACCACCTCAAACATAATTATCCATGCAAGAATAAACTTAAGAAGTTTCTATGATAAAATTCAAAGCCTTTTTTAATATTAACATTCACTCTAAAAATAAAATTCAATTGAAACACAACCTCAATCCCTACTGTCGGCTTCTCAGCTAAAATGTTAACATTCACTCAAGCAAAAATTAACTTTCCTAACAAGAACGCTTGTAACGTTCAGATCCTAAGAAGACATTATACTAGCCCATCCATTCAAGATCTTTACTTTCTATTACTCTAATGAAGCCATTCATAGAACTTCACCTCATCTTCTCTTCAAAGGATCACCGGCAATAGCATTTCCTTTGCATTGCCGCACTAGCTAGACTGACTCAGTCTGCAACAATGGAGCGCTAGCCCCATGAGTTAGAAAGCTCGGGCGCTTGATCCATGAGTTAGAAAAGATGGATCCCTCTTAAAATTAAATATGACATTCCCAAAAAAGCCACGTCATAATCCATCATACTCGAATGATTTCTCAAAAATAACACAAGTTATTAAAATTAAGGCTTAGGCAATGCCTCTTTCATGCTGATAAATGAAAATACGTTGATCATAATCAGATAAAACAAATATCCACCATCAAATAACACACTTATTTCCCAATAATTACTCCTGAAACTCTTATTTTTCAATGATCATCTGACATAAACTCGGCAACAAACTTTATAACACAGGGTTCATAACAAGCAATGCTGAAATTAAAGTGTAACAATATGGTAATATACAACAAAAGTTTAGCTCATCGTGCCATTAAAAGAATAATTATCAAAGCATCACATGACTCAAATGTCTGAAGTAACATGAGCTTGCATATAATATATGCAGGAAGAAATCATGGCCCAACAATAGCATTACATTATTTGAAAACCTCGTAAAACCATCATGTCCTTTCAAGTTGAAAGTACTACATGAGCTACTAATGTCATAATATAGAAGTATTAGCCACCAAAGATGGCCAAGAGACCAAACAATGTTAACACCACCAACACAAGAAGAGAGAAAACATAGCACATGCTCAGAAAATTATAATCCAACTACTGCAATTTAATCATCTTGGCTATAAATCTTCATAAGCTCAGAACAGAATGCAAGGGGAGTGTCCTTCTGGAAACCCAAGGCATTGGCGAACCTGGTGTCGGATGAAATACCGTTGTTGTGGGAGAGGACGATGCGAGACTTCTCCCGGCCAGGGACCTCTGTTTTGCATTCCGTGTCGGGGCTGCTTACTAACATGGCTTCGCAGATCTCGTGTTCATGCTCATCTTCGACGAGGATGTTGAAAGTGCCGCTATTGTCGGTGACGCCATCATAGCTGCATATTTTATCACCGGCTTTGCATTCAACTTTAACCTTAGCACCTAAAAGGACAGACAAAATTGGAGAAGGTTAAACAAGTAATATTCAGAATTATAGATCGATTCAGGAAAAAATAAATCAATTTTAAGAGACGAAACAATACTGAAATTTGCCTGAGAAGTAGAAAAATCTTAAACGGGCCTTGCTAGAAGTTACAAGAGGGGATATAAAATCTAAAACCCTAACAACAATTGCCTAGAAGAGTAAAAATACAAATTGTATGCCGATTTTGGAGTATATCGAAGAAAGTATTCAGTATTGGCAAACAACGACGAAGCTTAAATGATGGATGTAAATACAAATATTTCAAAATATTAAAGAAATTTACTAAGATTAATTCCAAAAATGCTGAATGATAGTCAAGTTTACAGATTATAATAAAAAAGATTTCACAAAATAGTGGGGAATTGCACGTCAAGCTTATTATAACATTGTACAACAAAGGGATTAGAATACGGGAGAGAATATATCCCATAATTAGATATAAAAACGAAGTTCCAGAATAGGGATCAGAATCAACAATAACATCAAGCTGAGTTCATAGCTGGTTTAATGATTGGCGGACGAATGAGGTTAGATGCACTTTCAATTCTTCAATCAGCATACAAGAAAACTTGAAATATATCTCATTTCAAAGAGCATTATCAAATTTTTAAGCCATTTTGGGTTTGATTTAAACCGTTTGATTTTAAGCATGGCACCTCGGTATCAGCACAAATAATGGAGTTACAACAGGAATGGAACAATTCTAGTTCAAATCAGCAGAGAAATTGACATATAATATTAAAGAGAACGCCCAAGAGTAAGCAACCATGCATGGGCTAACCAGTGCAGTATGAATGGTTAGTTTAACTCCAGTAAAATATGGTGAGTTTCAAACAATAAGAAAAGAAAATACTTGCTCGAACCCATTTCATGTTAATCTAATATATCTTAAGAATACACATTTTCAAATGCATCATCTACGCCTATTATCTAAAGAAAGAGAGTTGATTCAGTAGTAACAGAAATTTTGAGCAATAGGTTCAAAACCCTTCTAGCCAACAATCTAAGTTTAATATCATACAGATCAAGTGATATTGAAGTATGATCGCTTTAAATATTTTGGATTCATTATAATAAAATAGAAGATGTAAAGACAAATAAAAACACTATGGTAAAGAAGAAGTGAATGAAGGCGTTTTGCACTAATAATATACGATAGAGATAGATATTTTAAAAGTTTACTATTACACAATATTTTATATGAACCCAAGGGTTTGACAGTACAAAAAAATCATAATGGCTAGTTCTAGAAGCCAAAATTTTAGAACGAATGTATGGTAAAATTTCAAAGAATATTTAGATAAGAATATAGCACATTCAAGATAAAATAATAAAAAAGTGAATTCAATTTGCTGGCAATTACAATAGAAAGAAAAAGATGCATAAAAAAGATGGGTGCACAAAACTAATGTGGAAGGATACAAAAATAAAAGTAGAATAATGATAATATGGTTAGATATTATGAAAATGTATTGCACAAAAAAACATAACACCTAGCATAATAATGATAATATGGTTAGATATTATGAAAATGTATTGCAGAAAAAAAAACATAACACCTAGCATAGCACTCAACAAAAATTAATGGATTGGCAATTCATAAAGGGGCTTACCAAGTGCATAAAATTTCTAACAACTGATACTTGAACTCCACTTTGTACTTCAAAAATTTATTTTAATGCGTCGAACAAGTGGGAGAATAATTGGAAATACAAAATATTCAAAATGCAATATAAAGTGAAAAGATTTATTTGAAATACATTTTGGTGTTTGGTTGCACATAGATGAATTTTTTTTTCTCTTTCTTGCAAAATAAAACCAATATCTGAAATATGATGGCAACAACTACAAAGATAGCCAACGAAATTGACGTCACCGGGAGGTGGCTGACAATAATCAGCGACAGCGATAGGGATTCAATGAAGACAAGTGGTGGCTGGCAATTTCCAATAGCTATGGGCAAAGGCTCACGCATACGGTGTATTTGGAATTTGTCCAAATCACAAGAATTATAAATACATTGAAGCTAAAGTAGACTTCCCAATAGCTCTCAGCAGATTACTTTGCATTTGCCTTTCTGCTAACACAACCTAAAATTTCAAATTCATATGATTTGATTTGATCTACAACAAAAAAAAAATTGCCACCAAATAGCCAACTAGTTAGGATAAAATTGTTGAAATGCTAATAGTAAAACTAAAATTTATATTGAGGCACCTCATAATTAAATTGCTTTTAAATTAAAGTTCTATCGATACAAAGACAGCAAATAAAAGTAACGTTTTAGTTAAGCTAAAATCATTGATTTCATGTTCAAGCAATGGGCAGCTAGTTCTATCGATACAAAGCAAATAAAAGAAAAGTTCTAGTTAAGCTTCATTGATTTCATGTTCAAGCAATGGGCAGCTTGTTCCCTTTAACTCAACATGCAAACTTCAAGCAACAAATATGAACATGAATGATTCAAGCAAGTGAAAAAGTACATTGTAAATTCATAATGAGTTGACATTAGCTAGTTTTTTTAAAATATACCATTAAGTAGATTTAAAATCATAAATTAAAAGAAATTAACATATATGCAACACAGATTTCCATGTATTTATATACCAAACAACCAAACTTTGATATTTTCATTTATAACACTATGGTGTCATTAATTTATGCATGAAAAGGTGTGTGATTAGCTTTTAAATAGTTAATAATAGTAATAGTTTTTATGAATTATTAAAAATTTTAGTGTTAGGCATATAAATATGAAATTTGAAGTGTTAAACATATAAATATATAAATATATAAGAATTGTGTGGTACTATGTAAATGCAGCAAAATTTAACATCTTCATATGAATATCAGACAAATTTCAGCATTAATATAAGCTTCAATCTTTTCAACGAGTTCCATGTACCATGGTGACAACATGTTCAATCTTTGTTTGTTGCATGGTCAAAGATTTCTAAAAATGACCAAAAGTAACCAAGGTTGAACGAAGAAAAAAAAATCAATTTTAAATAGCCCTCAAGTAAAATTTGACTAAATCAATCTAAATAGGTCAATTTCAACAACAATATATTCCATATTTATCATTATTCCTTCTAGCATTTTCATTGTTAGATTTATAACTCTCATATTCATCTATTTATCCATCTCCTTATGTGCATCTTCATTATTCTTTCTATCATTTTCATTATCAGAAGATGCAACGAACTATCTTTATTACAATGTTTACAATATCATAGCATCTCTTCAGTAGATTTCTACTTTTTGAACAATCATTAAAGTCTATGTAGTAATGAAAAATACCCAACAACCTTAACTGATTTCCTACTAGCTCTTTTTTCCTTTAGGACTTTCCTGTTCTGAGCTTTAACACATCATAATGTGCCACAAATATGACTTACATCTTCAGAATTATCTTGCCAAAATGATATACAATCATTTGGATCATGCTTCTATTTTTGTGTGCTTGAGATTAAATGCTTTCATAATTCTTTTTTCACTCATATATTATTAAGCAGGAAAACTCCTTCCGATAAGGCACTTAACAATAATTCTAAATTGATATCAAAATTTTTTTGCGGTAGAATCTTAAATGATATAAGAATAGTATGAAATATAACTTCGAGGATGACTTACACCAAGGATATAAATTTAGGCTGAATCTTCTTCTCCATTTAAAAATTTCATACTCTAAGAGTTGAATTTCATTAAATATAACATGCATCTAGAACATAACCTTATTTCCCAAAATACTATTGCTCTTCCCATATCACCCCATATCAAATTACAATTTAACATCTCTCCAATCAAGTATGCCAGTCTCACTATTCAATAACTTAAGGCAATGCACTAGGCTTAGCACAACATACCGGTAAAACCAAGCTAAGAGTTATGCCATGAACCATAACCATGCCTCATCTCACTCAGGAGCCTAGATGAATTCCTAACTCATCTTTAACAGTGATGCTAAATATTATATCACCAATTAAAATATACACTAAACAAGAGTGAAATTGTAAATAATTGACTAGTTCTTTTAAAATTTTGATGTTATAATAAATAAAATAAAAAATTGAAAACTATTTAAAAAACCAATTATATTGAAAAAAAAAAAGATATTGAAACAAACAAAGGTATAGATGACAAATCTTAAAAAGGAGTCCAAATCCCAATATGAACATGTCAACTTTGGTTTGGAGTTAATTCATGTAATGCACTTTAACCATACTAGCAACAGGGCTTTCAGAATTCTAGATGTTAATTTAATAATTTGATGGGTTTCCAATTACCAGAAAAGCAACTGAAACATGAATAACCTAAGGATAAATTTATTAAAAAAAAAAAGAAAAAAAACCAAGAAAAAAATTTAAACATCATGCCTGAGGTATGAATGAAATCAATTTTGAAATAAAACAATAGTATGAAATTAGTGAGAAAAGAATAGAGTGAAAAAGCAATGTCTTTCTCTGAATTTATAAGGGGTTCAGTACTTAGTAAACATTGAAGCTCTCTAACTTTCTTGGAATTTTTTAGGGTAGATCACAACGAAATGACTACGCCAGTTCATTCTTAAAAATTTGTATATATTTCTCCCTGCCAAAAAAAGGTGACCGCAAATACTTACTAACCAAAATAAGTTGAAAAACTTTCACTAAATGCATTTCCAGGTTAAAACATAAGGGCCTAGACGTTTCCATAAGAAAACACTCTTTATCAGCTCTACAAATCCATACCTGACCCTAGACCAAAAAGTCTTTTTTTTTTTCCTGTGGGCAAAGATCAGAGAACAAGTTGTGGCATTTAGGATCTCCATGTTGCAATGACATCTGTAATTTAATATGTTTTGTTTATCAATTGGGCATACATCTAACGTTATGACATGAAAAATCATGTTGTTGTATTTTAATGTAAGTAATATTGACATCACAATATAATAAACATAATATTTGACTGATAGCATCATAACGCTCACATCTACTAATAATCAGATATTATTAACAGCATTTCAATAAAATTAATCCAAAGAACCCCTTAAACTATTTGAAAAATTGCATCCGCCCATACAAGATTCCCATCTAACCTTCGGAACACAGAAGTGAAATTCAGAAATTTTATTAACCAACGTCTTGATCGCTTACACTATCGTCAGTCTTGACTAACCCTTAGAGAAACTAACTCAGATCCAAGAACTTTCAAAGAACACTAGTCAAGATCAGTATAAAAAAAGATAATCACTAGCCTAAATACTGAAAAAAACAGCAATAAAAATTTCACCTAGTCTCTAACGCACACCATCCATCCAGATCAGGAACCACAACCCAAAAACACAAAATGCCATATCCATCGGCCTGAAATGGATCCCCATCCTTCCATATGAAAGCCCTCGACCGCAAAAAGTAAAATGCACAAGCCATCAGTCCAGATCAAGAAGATTCCATGATCTGATGGCCCCGATAGCAAAGAAAACAAAACAACAAGACAAAAGTAGGGCATCATCCGTTACCTTCGATGTAGGTGGTAGCGGGGGTCTCAAACCCGGCACGACAGGTATCACAGAATACTCGCCCTTGTACCGTGAACCGGACCGCCGGTGCAGCGCGACCACCGAACACCGATGCCGGTAAGAAGCATAAAACTAAGAAGAAGATGACGAAGAAGAAGGCCAATGAGAACTTGCTACTAGCCATTGTTGCCGATCAAAATCAAAGTGCAGCAACTGTGATTGAAGAGAAGCAGAAGGCGACGCGGTTGCTTTTTAAAGATGGCAGTAATGCGCAGTGGTTGCAATATTCTCCCGGTGAGAATAAGTTTAGGCAGCGATACTTTTTGAGAGATTGAAGTGATGACATGCCTAAATTTAATTTTTGAATTATTTATAAATTTAATAATATTTTTAAATTTTTATTAATTAAATTAATTATCACCCACGAGAAGATAAAAACAAAAGGTAAGTTTCATTTATTAAAAACAGCATAAGAAATTAGGAGAAATATGTTAAAAAATAAAAGATAGGACTTTATTTGGTAAACCATGAATGATGGCACATTTATGATATGAATGTGTTGAGTTAAGATGCCATGGCATAAATTAATTTCCATAATAACTTGAGTAAAATAAAATTAGATTGACTCGATTTTAAAGTTTTGATTTATATTATTATTTTTATTTTAATATATTATACTGAGATTTGTTATTCATATTGAGTAGAAAATATGTGATCCTTTGGTAAAATCATTATTTAAAGTACTATAGAAATTTTGACTATTTAATAGAAATGTTGCATATTTGAAAACAATTGAGAGCAAGTAAATATATTATGAATTTCATATCAATGGAGCTCGTATACTAATTTTGATGAATTGCTACTATATTTTGTGTTGGAGTCTCGTGCAATGTTAAGGCGTTATCCCACACAGCTTGTTGGACGGGGTCAAGGATAACCTTCGGTACGACTTTCCCCTACTTCTTCACGAAAGAAGATAGAAAAAAAAGGAGATCTCATATCAATTGTTTGACATCAATATGGACAGCTTTTTACTACCTCTTCTTTCTTCTTTTGAGAAATCGTAGATCACCTACTTGGCAAAAATGAGGACTCCTCCTCCTTCCTCCTCTCACTAGCCTTTTTATAGGTTAAAAAGGAAGAACAAAAGTAAAAAAATATTTTGAGGAAATCTAAAATTTTAAAATATACATAATTTTAATTTTTTAAATAAGATTTAAAAGGAAAAAAAATCTCTAATATTTTTCACCTTTAGGGATTATATAATATAATTTATATAATTCAATCTCTTTCCTAAAAATTTAAATTAAAACATCTTTTATGACAAAATTACAAAATTAAATTTATCTCTCTATGTATATGTATATTCCTATTTTATGAGTGACATTACTTTTGATTGTGTTCAGAGAATTAAAATCCACGTAAACTTTTTTTTTAAAAAAAAATTTATCATAAGAATTTAGCTCACAGAATTAAAATCCACTTATATTCGCATTTCATATAATAATAATTTTGCTTACGAATCTCGAGAATTTTTTTTTAACAAGAAAGGTTCAAACTTTGATATATGAATTAATCCATAATTCATATAAAAACTATCAATGAAATTATCTGCAAATATTTTTTAAAAATATATATTTTTAAACATGTAAATAAATGTTTTTTTTCATGGTCGCTAAAATAATCTTTGTTGTCCTAAGAGATTCAAATAAAATAATGAAAATCTATACTAGATGAAACTAAGTAAACAAAAATGATAAATTTAAAAATTTATGTGCATCTAAATACAATGCTAAGTCAAATCATCGTTTTTTATAACACTATGATGTTTGATTAGTTGTTAAATAAAGTTAAAAAAAATGTATTTTGATTATTGTAATATAAATCTTATTTTTAAAAAAAAAATTAAAATAAAATTTTGAGGGATATCTTGGAACTGCCACTGCTGGTTGTGAAAGCAAGCTACAATCAATGGAGAATGGAAGATATGAATGAGGAAGGCAATTTGATATTTAAAAATCATAAGATATTAAAGTAGATAAAAAATGAGCTAAATGATAAATTCTGAATATATTACTAAATTATTTTGGGCTTTGATTATCCCATTAGACAGTCACACTTTTAAATCTCTAACTTTTCTTGTACTTAACTTAAAGTAGCCCCTAAATTTTAATAACCCAAAAAAACAAAATTATTATATATTTCTTAATTAAATTATTAATATTATTATTATCATTATGTGTTTGAGAGGAGCAAAATTACTAAAATTATTATTATCTTCTCTTCTCTATTCTCATGAATACATTCTTAATTGTTTTGTTAATTCACAAGAAAAAAGAAATACTTTTTATTTGATATATGATGATTATTTTCTTATTTTTTAAAACATTAATATAAATTTTATTAATTGTATGTCCTTTATTCCCAATATATTTAGTAAGGTTTCTAATATTCATGTCAATGCTTCTAAATTTGTTATTTATTTTTCTAAATTGTAGATACTTATATTCAGTAGCAATTTTTTCATATTAGTGGCTTTAATATAATGCTTTTGCCTTAGAATTATTTGAGAGTTATTATTAAGCCTTCTATGCTTATTGCTGTTGATTACTAATAAGCTTCAAAGTTTATTTGTGGTTGGCTAGTTGGAAGTTGGAAACTTTGTTTGTGGCTAGTAAGCTTCTATTAATAAAATATTTTGTTTAGAGTTATATTTATTATTAATTTAATTTCTACTACTTAATTACCTATTTAAGGCTTATGGAAAATAGTATCTACTATGTTTAGAATTGTTCTTCAGCATAATGGTTGTGATTAGAAGTTTTACCGCATTGCTTGGAATGTTGTTATTTTGCCTAAACATAATAATGAACTTGATTTTCCTTTCTCATGCATTATCAGTACTGTGTGTAAATCCAGAAGATTTTGTTTCGAGCCTTTTTTTATTATGATTTTTTGTTTCTTCCTAATTTCTAGTTACTTTGATATATTTCTATCTATTTCATTGAGTTATTTGTTTTTTTTTTTTTATCTAAATATGATGACTAAAATGTTGTAGAATTTATATCTCTATTACTCAGCTCGTTTTATTAGACTTTCAAGATTTATAAGGCTCTGACGTAAAAGTCTTACAGGACTCTCTTTTCTTTTCTTTTCTTCTGATGATTTGATTGTGTTTCTTTTTTTATTTGCTTAGATATATTTTTTCTATTACTAGGATGGATTATAAATGCATTATTTGTGGGATTAGAATTCCTAAGCTCATGCTGGCTCCTTGCTTTCTATTTCCCATGTATTATATTTTGTAAGTATCTTGGATTATATTTAGCTTTGATCTTGCTTTTGCTTCATCATCATTTTATGTTGGTTGTTAGAATTGTTAGGATGACATAAAGTTACTTGTCCTAGAATTGCAGGACGCTGAGTGCAAGGTTGATGGGTAAGCGAGTGAGCGTATCGCGCTGCATTGATTTAGGTATAGCTGGCGTCGGTGGAGCAGACCGCAGAGGTGGAGTGGGAAAGATCCATGAAGGTAACGTTACCACCACGCGGTTTCGGCGTGAAGGCGATGATTACGGCGCCCAGCCTGGAACGCGGGGGTGGATAGCAGTTGGGCTTATGATCACCGCCCGCAATAGCTCGAAATTCAGGCTGAGTTGGCACTGGGTTTGGTTTCCTCGTTAGTCGACTTATTAAATACGATTAAATTGACTTTTTAGGTACAATTACATGCAGGCCACCCGAAACGTACTATTTACAAATCTATCCCAAACTTCAGTCCATTTTTTTTTTCAAATTCTCAAATATCAAAATTAAACTTCGACCCATATTTTTTATTTTTGTTAAATTCACAATAATTTGATTCATTCGAAAATATCAATGTTATCATATGATGTGTATGCATATAATAAAATTAGATGGATTTTAATATATTAATATATCAATATCAAAACTAATAATTTCTTAAACAACACCTACAACTTCTCAAATTGTCCACCTTAGGAGTTCAAGGGATATTTACATAGATGCCGCCCAATATAGATGTATTTACGGATTTAACAACTAATGACTGAATGCGTGGGGAGGGACGGGGCAAGGCGGGGGCAAGTCTAGAAGCGAAGACTGTGTGGATTGAGAGTACATGCGGATCATAGTATTCGGATAGCACTGCACATCAATATCATCACAATAACAGCGTAATACTATCAATATTACTCCAACGTCACGTTAATACCACCGATCTACACTTATCTCATCGGACACATAATATTTTTTCCAAGTTTTATGGGAATTTACATATACCGCCAATTTTTTTGTATTTACATATCTAACAACTAATTACGAAAGATTTCTAGGGGCAATTACATTCATACTGCCCAATTATTATGTATTTATATATCAAAAAATCCTAAGAGCATTTGCCAATTTATATGTATTTACATATCTAACACCTAAATTTTATTTTTACATTTACACAAATCAAATTTTTGTTATCATTATTTTAAATTTTATATATTATTTATTTATTATTTAATTTTGAGTCAAAATAAGCCAAACGTTTTTGAACAAAAGTTTGTTCATATTCAACTATTTTAATTCCTTTTTTTTTTTGTTTGGTTATATAATCAATTGGGTGAGATTGATATTTTTTCATTCTCGTTCGATTGCATGACAGTTGAATAAAATAAAGAGAGCATTAGAGAAACACTATAACACTCGCCCATAATTCTTCCCATGATTGTCGACAGTAAGGAGGTGTCGTCAATATTTGAGAATTTCATTGTGATATTATACTCTTTTTGTTTTGCTCGACTTCAAAGAAGGAGGTAATTGATCATTTGAACGCTAGATTGTGGTAGATTCTTCCTCTCTTAAGCCTATAAGCTCTGAGATAAGCTTATTGTACACCAAAAATGTGTCAGCATGTATCTCGAGACAACGTAACGGTTCATATCAAAAGATATAGAAAGAGGATCAACTCCTGATGAAAATTCATAAGGTCTCACGAATTCAGCCGACCAAAGGTAATCCCAGCTGACTAATAGTGGCCCAACCAACTAAAGGGCTGACGACTGCTTGAATGTTTGCAGACCGACCGAAGGCTAGTCAGACGACCAAAGGGCAACTCAAGCCAATAAGGGACAGACATTCACGCCAACTACCAGACAAAAGTCCAATTTCTCTAACGATCTAACAAGTATCAATACAAAGCTCTCTTGATGTCTCTCATAAACGTCACCTAAAGATCATCAAAGACCAATAATCAAGCAAGTAGACCAGAAAGCATACCGGCCATCCCACTAAGATCCAACCAGCTTCCCAAAGCGAAAATCGACAAAAACCAACTCAGTCGACTTACCCAAAGTCTTGATGACCAGAAGGTATTATCATGCAAAAAAGACCAGAATACCCTTTACAGCCCTTCCAAAGGAGAGATAAAACATGTAATTTTATATTTTATTCTTCTATCTTCTATAAATAGAATGATCATATCTTGTATTAAAGACTTTTGAGCTCTTCTCTTTAGACACCTCTCATGTGGGGATTTTCTATCTCCATTTCCTTTATAACATCTACTTTCAATATAATAAATGGATTGCAGAGCCCTCGAATACCCTAGTTTGCTCTAGAGGGGCAAGTCGTTGTGCACTCTCTCTACCTCCCTACTGCTCAATTCCTTGGGCATCCCACACAGGAGAAATCTAGACTCAACACTTACATGTTTAATCACTTTCTTTTTTTATACTACATGTTTAATCACTTTCTTTTTTTATACTACATTCTTGGTAGTTATAATTTGATCTCCTTAGTTGGATATTTATTAATTCTCATGTTCTCAGTAAATTGTGATAAGAGGACAACTCACAATTAAGATGAAAAATTAGAGCTAAGATTTACAATCATGAACCACATGACTATTGTTTTGAGTCTGATTGCTTATCTTTGAAATAATTACTTAATAATTTAAATATAGATATTGGCATTTGAAACAATAGATTCAAAATAATACTACTTAAATTTACTATTTTGATGACCACATTCAAAGTAATAATAATCATACCTACAATCTGAATTGAAAAATAAAAATACTACGATAGGATGTTAGTAAAATAATAATTTTAAGTCAATGGACTATAAAGATCTACTATAGGATCTTAGAGCAATTCATTCTATTTTTATTGATTAGAAAGGTAGGGCTATTTGAATATTGCTTAGAAAAACAAATGAGTGTTAAAAGGATAAAATAAGATTTCAAAGCTCTTGCTATGAAAGAATGCTTGTGATAGTATTGGTTTTTCGTACTAAAAGAATGTTTTGAGAACAAACTAAAGAAATGTTTGTGATAGTCTAGGTTATGAGGGTACGCTAAAATAAGTAAAAAATACAATTACAAAGTTGGGTATGCCTTTTTTTTCTTGCCAAAATAAATTTTGCAACAGACTTCGACAAGAACTAAGGTAATTGTTAATGAAAAAATATATTTAACTCCAATTTTCTCATATCAAACTTCTTAGAGAGAAAAATCCAATGAATCAAGATCAATTAATTTTAACATCATTTAGGCACAAAGGCACAAGAGAAACTTTCAATTGAATTTGTGTATTTGAAAATTCTAACTTTCTATTGTCAGCAATTATCATCATCAACTATGTTGGTTAATCCAACCATTATTATTTAACTATCATCACTCGGTGTACATCACTCAAACGCCTTGACTCAACCATGATTACTTGGCCATCATTTTCTTATCAATGTTGCCCAACTAAAATTACCCAATCATTTTTATCCAATTATCTTTACCTTTCAGTGCTTCTCCACTAATCTCTACTGTATACACACAAAAACAAACCAGCCTTCTTGCACTCACCTCCCTTCCATTAAAGTAAAGCGGCAACCTTTCATAATTGAACTTAAATGACAGATTATTTTGATTAAATTAGACCCCAAAATTTGTTGACATCTTTGTTTTAATCAACATAAAACTTTGATATTTTGCATCTTCTTTATTTATCCAGGATAAATTTAAATTTAAATATTTAGCTCTGCGCTCGACTAAAATGTCCGATGTAATAATTTTAACTTTAAATATAAGATCCTATGCCACCAATAGTATGATAAGAACTCTTTTATTGAGGAAAAAAATATTACATCAGTACTACACACGTAAAAGTAGCGTGCGTAGCCAATAAAATCATGTCACGACATCCCGCACGATAGAGAAAAAAAAATAACACAGTAGCACAGGGAATATTCCCTCCTATGTTATTCATGTGTTATTGTGTGTTATTCATGTGTTATTGATGTGTTATTGTGTTGTTATAACACCAATAATATTCTCATGACATAATAAGACATGAATAACACAATAACACCTGAATAACACGGAGAATATTTCCAACAGAGAAAAAAACAACGCAGTAATACGGGAGAATATTCTTCCCAGTGTTATTCATATGTTATTGTGTTATTATAACACCAGGAATATTCCCATGACACAATAACACATAATAACACAATAACACATGAATAACACACAATAACACATGAATAACATAAGGAGAATATTCTCAATGTTACTGCATCGTTTTTTTTTTGTCGCGCGGGGTGTCGTGACGTGATATCATTGGCTACGCACGTTACTCTACGTGTACTGATGTAATATTTTTTTTTCTTTATTGAGGTGGCCATTACATACATACAACACAACGATCATATATTTACATATCTAATACGAAAAGTTTGTTAAGTGCACATATGCCACTCATATAATTAACATCACATCAATCAATTACCAACTTCATAAAAATGAATACAACTAAAGATGTTATATATATATATATATATATATATGTAAACACATAAGAATTGTGCGGTATGCTACGTAAATTTACCAAATTGTTTTTGGCGCTGAAGCTATAAATAATAAAAGGATTTAATATTAGTAGAAAAAGTCACGCATTATTGTTATAAGAGAGCTACTAGCGGCTCGCACAGGTTTCCGCACTTGAATTGAAAAACAGAATCATAAGATTTGAACACAAGTTGATTTACCATAATCACCGGGAGTCGACAACAATTACATATTATATAATAATTGGAAGAAGAAAAATGGGGTAGAGAACCAAATCTGCAATCTTATAGTTCCGCCACTCATATAGCCTTCAGTTCTCCGACCCTTTTCAGGAAGTCTCACTTGTACTCCAGAATCATATTGTTTTCTGGAGCCAGGCCAATGCAAGCCCTCAGTATGTTCTCCAGCATAGCCCTCTGTTTTGAGAGGGCGTTCACCACAGGTGTGCCGGGTGGAACCTGTTACAACATAGCAAAGCAACAACACGATGAATTTTTGGTGATCAGAAGTAGGGGTGTAACTGAGCTAAGCTGACTCATGAGCCGGCTCCGGCTCAGATCGAAAAGTGGCTCGTGAGCTGAGCTCAATGAGCTAATAAGCCAAGCGCAAGCCAACCTTGATTCGACTCGTTAGCTCATGTGCATGCTCGTTTAAAAAACAATTAGGGAAATTTATGCACATAGCACACATTTCTCATTTATTTACATATCTAACACCTAAATTTACATATTTACATAAATAGAACTTAGGGTGTTTTAAACCTATGTATGAAAAGGTGTATTTCACTTCTAAAAAGTGGAAATGGTGCTGTTTTTTTATGTGATATTAAGGATTTGAGTGTTTTATGTGTAAATATGAAAGTTTGGGTGTTGAGATATGTTAATAAATGAGAATTGTGTGCTATGAAATAATTAATATAAAATATACTCAAATATATATTAAAAACCATAATTTTTTTAAAATTATTAATAGTGTTTAAAAACAATATATTGTATTTTATATTAAGTATCTTTTCTTTCTCCTAATTATTCATTCTATTTGTAATTTTATTATAACACTAATTCGAATTAATATTGTCATATGTCTTTCATAATAAAGAAGCCCAGTCCTAGAATTAACAATAAAACGTACAAGAGGAGCTTTAGTCAGGTAGCTCAGTATGGTTGCCACAGGATGGAAGGAATGGAACTTTCCCTGCAAAACCAAATTGCAAAATACACCTTTAGCTCTTAAACATTTCAGCATTCATTAGCTACATTACAGATTAAAAGTAGAAGAATATGTTCAAATTAAGAGATTTCACAAACCTCCCCCTCAGCCTTGAACTGAATTCTGGAGCTAAGCTCAGCCAGGAGCACCAAATCAAGAATTATAGGTGCAGCAAGTAGTGAGTCCTCGCAGGTGTTGTGAATAACGATCGTGTTTTTCCCACCCATGAAGATCTCGGAGGTATACTCGTCCATCGCCCTTTTGCTATCCCCAACATAAGGCACATACTGAGACAAGTCCACAAAATAATTAGGTATTGAAGCTTGAATACAACTACTTTGAAAAGGCTACTACTTCCAAGTACCTTTATGACAACGACATGGTCGGGATGCTCCCCTGGTTGATAGAGGATTTCGTTGCTCGTAACCATATCATCGACGACATTGCTCTTCGAGATCTCTTTTGAACGAAATGTTTGTGGTGCAGAGAGGTTCATGCCATCGTTGTTACCAAGATGGTTGTAGCTAACAATGGAGGTTGGCTGGTTGAAGAGAAACATATTTTATGTTAAATATTTTACATAAAAGATTTCTTTATTTTATATAGCATGGGATAAATATAGGATTAGTGCTTTCACCTTGATCCCTGCACCGACAAGAAAATCAACGAGGACGGATTTCATCTTTGTTTGCCCGCTCTTGAAGTCATCTCCTCCAATAAGACTGTTCCTCTGAATGGCAAAATCAATAAGTCCTGGAGAGAAATGAAAAGAAAGAACAAAATTAGATGTTATCAAATCCTTTCTCACGATACAGAAATGACCAATAAGCATCGAAAATTGTTTGCGTAATTACCAGGCACGAAGGTGTTTTGTGGGCTTCCATTGATGAATGGAATGTTCTCCATGACGCAGGCAACAGCATACAAGGTGGATGGGGAGATCTCAGTCTCATTTCTTTCCAATGATGCAAGGAGATTCTCAGTGGTGTCATTGAGGCCAACCATCACATTGCTGTACCTCTCAGTGTTTGCAGTCCAAAGAACAACGACTTTATCGACATTGTTCTTATCCTTGAACTCCCTAACACAAAACATTTGGCAGAAACCTTCATTAATATCGTGAATTTATCTGGACTGATCTATGCACAAACTATTAGATATATAACATCAATTAAATCTTATTATTTCTTATTTTTTTATTTTATTATGTTCTATTCCTTTCCTATTTACTTAATTTTGTTTTAGTTCTTTCCTTTTGTAATTAAGTTTAAATAGCCCATGTTGCTCAAGTCACAAATTTGACATGATATCAGAGTCGGGTTCTATCCTAGTCGTTGGCTCTTCTAGTAGGGTTTTACTACTGCCGGTTCCACCTTCAACAATTCTCCACAGAGCCTTTCTCCCGCGAGCTTGAACCTTGGATCGAATTAGGATACTTCCACGTTGCAATATCACTATCTGAACCTGCGAGCTTGCCGTCGATCACAGGTTCTGCAGCATTACAGTCAGGGCACCAACTAAGGTCTGTAGTGGGATACTCGTTGGCGAGAAAAAGAAGCAACTTTATCTCCGAGAGGATCGGCTTAAAATTCTAAAAAACGTGTCGTGAATCCTATCTCCCTTGAAATCCCGTCTCCCATGAGGAAGCTCCTTTCCTGCACATTCTTGCAACTTTCCTGTAGGAAAAACAGCTTTTTACTATTTTCTGCAGCTTTCCTGTCCCGCAGTGCAGCTTTTTGCAGCAATCCAACAGGATCTTTCCCGGCCAGCTGTCCTCCACCTGCAGCAGTCGAACTTTCATGCAGCTTTCATGCACAGCCTTACTGCAGCTATCCGTGAGCCGAATCCATCAATGTGTTGGATTCACAGCCACACTTCTTTCCGTTCAGCCGGAATCATCTCGAGTTCTGCTCAACCCTCATGTACTGTCGCTCCACTTGTATTTAGTGTCACAAACCCAACTACACTCGAGACAAGTGTTGGAAACTCCACGATAAGCCGGCTCACAAACCATCGGCCAAATCCTCTACTAGCAAGGGTTTCACAGTGATCGTCGAGCCTACCACGGATGAACCGAATCATACCTAAAACATCCCATAATCCTCTAAATCCCTGAAAAGCCAGATGAAGCAATTGATCAGCTTATTAGAGCCCATCAAGTTTCTACAGATGCGTTGACCTCCCACGTCCGAAAGATACTCTTCCCATGGCTTTCACGATTTATTCTTTCTCTAGTCCATGGATCACATGATTAAATGCTCACAAGTTTTTTCGACCTACTATCCGTGCTCGGGAAAGATACCGTCAAAATTTTCGATGGCTCTTGTAGTTTCATTGTTGGTAAATGGTCGGTTATACTGATAACTGATCTAACTCTGAAGTCTGTTTTACATGTTCTACAGTGGTAATGTAATTTGTTATCTGTCACCAAGTTAACAAATGATAATGATTGCATTGCTAATCTCTCTTATCATATTTGTGTTTTTCAGGATCGTCGTTCAGAGAGGATGAAAAGAATTGTTAAGAGGGTAGCTAGAGTACAACTTTCAAGAAAATAACATGGAAAATCTAGACATCTCTCACGTTTAGATCATCCTAGTTTCCAATATTCAAAAAAATTTCATGTTTTGATGTTTTCTAAAAGCCCTTCTAATTTCTATAATGAGACATGTCAGTTAACCAAACATCATTGGGTCCATTTTACTCATCCCATACTTACACTCCTTCCGAACCTTTCTCCCTCATTCACAGAGACCTAAAGTGACTTTCTCGCACTCCCAGCTACACCAATAAAAGGTAGGTCATAACTTTGATTGAGGATTACAATTGAATGACATGAGTCTACATTTTAAAAGACAAATCGGAAGTTGATGTCACCTTCCAAAACGTCAACACCTTCATTTTAACTCAATTCAAATCTACTATTCAGCTCCTTCAGACTGACAATAATCATAATTTTTTTAATTCTATTTTGGGTGAATTCTCTCCACCATAGCTCTCGTACGGATACTCAATAAAATGGAGGGAAAACGAGAGAAAAAACTGCCACCTCCACGACGTTGCTCACTCAATCCAATGTTCTGAAATATTTTTGGAACAAAGTCATTCTCACTGTCACCTATCTCATTAATAAAGTCTCGTCTAAAATTCACAAGTTCTGAACCTCCTTAGTCGTTCTAATGTCATGCTTCCCAACTAATAGGAGCTTCTCCACATTATACCCCAAGATTTTTTGATGCACTGTCTTTGTTTGGAACACTGCCCCCAATAAGAGAAAATTTAATCTCAGATCCATAAAATGTATCTTCCTTGGGTACTCCGCCACTCAAAAGGAGTATCGGTGTCTTGACTCTACCACAAACAAAATCTATCTGAGTGTTGATATATCATTCTTTGAAAGTGTTCCCTATTTTCTGAGCTAAGCACCAAGTGAGGGTGAGCTTGGGTTCTTAGACATTATCCCTTATCCTACTCCTATGGATGTTTCCCCCATTGTTCCCTCCACTGAATAGTCCCCTGTCCCGGTGAGTGCTATCCCGATGAGTGCACCATCTCCTCCCACTATTTGTGTCTACACTTGACGCACTCGTTATAATACTCATACTCTAGAACCCACTACCTCCTTACAGGACCTTGACTCCACTTTGGGTGACATCCTCAGCACGACCCCTCCTTTAAATGAGGTGAACTCTTCGAGTAAGTTATGCAATCAGATATGCTCCCTCTATTCTATGATAAAATATGTCTCTTTTCGCAATTTATCACCGACCTACAAAGCATTTACCACTGCCCTGACGGATTAACAGATCTCAACTACTATTGAGGTTGCTCTTACTAATCAAGCCTAGAAAATGACAATAATGGAGGAAATAAGCGCCCTTCAGGGGAACCATACATGTGACCTCGTTGATCTTCCTCAGGGTAAGAAAGCGATGGGGTGCCAATGAATTTTCAACACCAAGTTTAACTCTGATCGATCATTTGAACGCAACAAGACATTATTGGTTACCAAAGGGTACTCACAAACTTACGGAGTTGACTATAAGAAGACATTTGCTCCAGTGGCCAAGTTAAACACTATTTGGGTCATGTTGTTCCTTGCAGGAACAACATGAATGTCAAGAATGCGTTGACTTGTCTCTCCCAGGGTGCGAAAGTGCAGGCTGCGGAAGTCTCTCTATGGGCTAAATCAGTCTCCCAAGGTCTGGTTTGACAAGTTCACAAAGATAGTCATGGGTCATGGCTTTACTCAGGATCAATTGGACCACACTCTTCCTCCGACATTCCTTCAAAGGCAAGATAGCTATCCTTATTGTCTATATTGACGATATTCTTCTTACAGGCAATGATCTCCCAGTATTAGAGTTCTTAAAAGACATTCTTGCTAAGTCCTTTGACATGAAGGATTTGAGATCTCTAAGGAACTTCTTAGGCATGAAAGTGGCTCGATCAACTTGGAGCATTTGCCTATCACTATGCAAATATGTGATTGACCTTTTAAAAGAGTACAACCTTCTGTGCAAACCGGTGGTTGTCCCAATGGATTCCAATTAAAAATTATCTGACATTCTTAATATTGTATATGTCAACAAAACTTACTACCAGCGCCTTGTGCGAAAACTCATCTATCTTGCCCATACTCGCCCAGACATATGTCACACAATTGATATAGTCAGTTAATTAATGCATGATCCCTTTGAGCACCATCTCCAAGCTGTCCACCGGATTCTCCACTATTTAAAAGGTACACCGGGCTTAGGTTTAATTTTTCTCTCGTCACACCTCTCAGTCTATTGTTGTTTATATAGATGTTGTTGGGTCGGGTCGATTCATGTCGTCATTCCACCTCGGAGTATTCATCATTTGCATGGGAAAGTTTGGTCACATGGAAATATAAAAAACAGTTTTTGGCTGCTCAGAACAGTGCAGAAGCTGAATTCTGGTCCATGACCTTGGGGATTTATGAAGCCCTCTAATTATGCATCTTGCTCTATGGCCAACCTCCATCCAGCTGCAACTATTACGTGATAATAAAACCGCCACATTGCTCACAATCTAGTTCAACATGATCGTACCAAACATGTGGAGATTAACAAACGCTCCATTAAGAAAAACATTGTCTCCAAGGAAATTTGTGCGTCTTTTGTACCCTCCAGTGGTCTACTAGCGGAAATCCCCATCAAGAATCTTCCTCGACCTTTGTTCGATTACTTCAATCCAAGTTGAACATGATTGACATCTATGCTTCAACTTGAGGGGGAGTCTTAGATTTATAACGATAATTAAATTCCTAGACGTTAATATTTATTATTTATTGCTTATTAGTTCATTATTTCTTTTTTTTTTTTTACTTTTTTCTTTCTTATTCCTTTCCTATTTATTTTATTCTGTTTTATTTCTTTACTTTGTTGAGCCTATTGTAATTGGGATTAAATACCCTTATTCTATCAATAAAATCATGTTGCTCAAGTCACAAATTTGCACAAACTATATTGCATTCTCTCATCTAGTTTGGGGCATTATAAAGTATAGCTAAGAAATCATGATGATCATATTAATCACACGGGGTGTTTTATTTGCCATGATTTGTATGCATCATTTGAGAAAAATTCCAACATTTATTTACACCAAAGTTTCATCATATAAAATTTATTAGATCTATCATTTGATTGGCTATAGCTAAAAATCAAAATTAAGTCTGAACTCCACAAACTCCCTCAGACTCCCTTCAAATGTAACTGATTTTAATTTCAATACAAGTAAAAGAAATGAAATATTAGTTCCTCCACCTAAATCTCTAATTACAACCAAAACGTTTCATTTACTTTGTTGGGACATTTGCTTGAACAAACAACCTCATGCTCATAATCAAAAGGTTGGCTGGTATAATGACAAGTAAACTTAGAAGGATTTAACCAGCAACAGTCAGATTAACAAATAATCAATGAGAACACTGGAGAGCACGCAAAAGATAGTGAATAAAAACAATATACCTAATATCCTTAATAACTTGTTGGACTTGCTCACTCTTGGTTCCTTTGATGACATTGTTGGCACGGGAATCTTGATTGGCGGCGATGAAATCTGGATCGTAGATACCAGGAAGAGGAACCATGGATTCCATGTAAGGCCTAAGTTGCTTCTGAAGATCAATGTCCAAGACCCTGGCTCTAGTCATCGAATCTGCTAGGTTAAGGTTGCTTATGTCCCATCCTCCAAACACAATTTCATCTGGGTTCACCTAAATCAATAAAAAAAATCAAATTATTTATTTAGACAACAATCTATCATCCCAAATACTGAATCACATTCCACTTATGTAACGGTTTGATTGGTAAAAAAAGTGTTAAAATTAGAACAAATACAGAAATAAGTAGAATGTCAATTTTTTGTCCCAAGATTTCAATCTTAAGTTTCATAGTTCTTGGATTTCTCTACAAGCCACTTTGGTTCTTATTTGCTTAGTTAGTTGAGCTTTTAAAGATATGACTTATCTTCAGTTTTGTTACTCGGTTGAGATTTTGCAGTTAGGTGCAGTTTGGGATCAAATTAAATTTTTATTTCCTATTTTAATTTTATAATATTTTTTTTATTTTTTGTTTTGAAACAAAACATGTTGGACATATTTAATTAATTATGCTTGTTTTAAAAACACTCAAAACATCTAAAAATTATTTTGAGTGTTTTAAAATTCATGTTAATTTATTTTTATAAACAAAAAATAAAATTGTATAAAATCGCAATAAATAAATATGTTTTTAAAAATAAAAGTAAAAACAAAAAACAAAATTGATCTCAAATAAGCCCTTAAATATTCATGTTTGATATTATATAAATACTTTGAAATAGCTAAGTTACATGAGCAAGATATTCCAGCAGTATTGCTTTTCAAGTTCTTAAGAACTTTATGCTTGAGAGTTCTAGGCAGTTTTTACATTTGATCGTTTTTTTAATACTTGGTAAGGGCGGTTTTTTGGCCTAAGTAGAAAGATCTTCAGAGTTGGCTGAAGCCCGTTGAAAAGACCTATGTAAACGATATAAGGTGTACATGTATAAAATCAAGCGAGTAATGTAATAATTAGGCATAAAATAAAATATCCACACACATGCTATATTAGACAATTAAATCACTAAACGCCAAGACTAAACAAACAATTGCCAAAAGATATGAAAGGTTATATAAAGATATATGCTAAATGTAAGAGTAAATACAATTTCGAGCACAAATAATTAAATTTACTTGATCAAAATGGCTTATGAGCATGTAAGGCATGACTCACCACATAAGCAATTAAACTAACGAACTGTAAAATTATGTAAATTTTGGTTAAAGAGTAATGACAATGCTATTATTATGTGATTTTCCACCCATTTTACTTACGTTTATCGCTAAGCAAAGTTTTGCTCAGGATTCCACTAAAATCCTCCATTTTTAAAATAAGTCAGTCTCCTTCATGGTGGATAGGTAGAGTACTCTACACAACGTTTTCCTACTACAAACGAGCACAACGATAAAGCCTATCCCTACGGACTAGGCAAACATAAATCCTATATACAAATAATTTTACCTCAAAAATTCTTTCAATATTTTGGTGGTATATAATTCTAGCACTAAAATATCAAGAGCACACAATCTTTCATATTCATTGTATAAAATACAATGCAAACTATATTATTACTCATGGAAAGAAATTGGCTTTAAAAAATATTATATAAAATAAACACCTGATTTCTTCTTTAGAGACACCTTAAAATGTTCTTACAATAAAATCAAAAGAACTGTCATAATCTTCTTAGCTTTCATCTCATTTTATGAAGTATTTATAAAGTGTTGAATGCATATGAAATACTATAAAAAAATTCAAGAAAGCCAAAAAAATTCTAAAAATCATACAAAAATGAGCTCCAATGGCTACTTATATTTCTCCAATAAACATTCGTATGAACCTTCATCAAGTAAATTTTCACAAAAATAGCTTTAATTTGGTGATACTAATAGCAAGTCAATGGTCTCGAGTCTATGTAACTAGGACAGCTTTCATCCATAAGCTTTTACAGTGCATTTCTACATACAAAACAAGAAAGCTCTCATCTGTTTTTTGGAATGCTTCATAATGATTTGCATTTAACAATTAAATATAATCTACAATAATCTCTACTAATGCTACATACAAAACAAAAAGGCCTTCATCTCTTTTAACCTAATCCTTTAGAATGCTTCCTTATATTTTGCATTTCAAGCTTGGATGTTACTGTACAATGATTGCTACTCAGTTTTGTACTTCATAAGACCATTAATATCTCTTAACATATGTTTTTTTATCATCAAAATTAAATAGACCTTTGATGCACACGTAATGCAAACAAACTAAGTGTGAGGGTTAAGAGTAGAACTCCCTAAACACATGTAAGTTGTGAAATAGAGAAAATTTTAAGAGAGAGGCAATCAATTAAAAATAAATTACATTACGAAATAAGAGATATCGCATAGATAAATAAAAGTTGTTAAAAATATTAGGATTGCAAAATCAAGAATGAAGGAGCCACAAGTTGAAGTAGTAAAGAAGGGAAAAAATATGCCATTAATTCATCTGTTTAATATGGAAAGAGAAGTGCTACAAATTTACGTGCTTAACAAGAAAAAAAAAATTGTAACTGATTTCTCTATCCTATTACCGAACAAGATTAAAAATTTTGGATAACAAATTTAATTTTCAAATTCTTTAAATTATTTCTAATTAATTTTGAATGTAAAAAAGTGAAAAAATAAGTTTTCTAGCCATTTCTCTTCTATATGGTATCAGACTAATGTTAGAGTTCCCTTCCAACCATTAAGTTCACATATCTATAATTTTTTTTTCCTCTTCATGTCTGGCTTTATAGCTTCCCTTCCAAAGAATCAGCATCACGAGTAGCGAAAATCATACTAAAGAAAAATTCTAGATGGGACAAACCTTGTATCTATAGAATGATGAAGATATTTCTTAAAGGAAAGAGAAAAATTTCATCGTTTTAATGATCCTTGCTAAACTCAGAATGATCCAAAATTTGTAATATGGGATAAAACATATTTTAAAACTATGTTACAATTATGGAACACAATGATACATGAAATCAACAAATAATATTTAGTCCTAACACCAACAAAGAACGCTTCAAAAGCTGTCAAGCAGATTGAAGATGTCGCCCTCATGTATGATATTAAGACAAAGCTCTTGACAAAAGTAACATTTCTATCATTGAATGCCTCAATGCAGTGAAAGTCCATTGGCTAGAACTTGACTACAACCATGATCTCAAAATAGGTATAGTAATGATGTAATGGCTCTCAAATAATTTATATAAAGAGATTGCGTGTCTGAGTTTATAGCAAAACACAATAATGAATTCAACTAAATTTGTATTTAAACCTTAATCAAACAAAACCCAATATCCATAAATAAAGACTTCTCACTCAAATATATAGGAAGAAAAAAGATGGCAATACTTGATGCTCTCAAATCTTAAACATAAATCATAAAAACCACATAACCCCAATATAAGATACTTATTGCCACCGAATCTTCAAAAAAGATGCCTAATTGCCTTTTCCCAAAACTAGCCTATGTGCAATTATGCCAAAAAAAAAGAGTATATTAAAGAGGAATATGGAAAATTTCATAAAAAACCTTGAAGTTGCGATGGAAAATAAAAAGACTAAAAAGGATAGCTTGCTTTGATGAACTAGAATGACTCAATTTAGAAGAATTTGAGAAGCTAAAAACTTCCTCAATTTTCTCGGAAAAGACATCTGGCTCAAAATAGTAAAAACTCAAACTCTTTTACTTTTAATTCTTTAACTATCAAATAGTTCTACTAAAATATAACTAATAGATTTATAATAAATTTTGCCAGCATCTTTTTAAACCGGAAAACCTTGTTCAAGCAATAAGAAAATAAAATTAGTTGATGGCTCCCTAATCACTCTTACATGTCAAGGAAAAATTTTTATTTTTCCTACCTTTACTATCAAAAATATGCCGCATACTTCTAACCCAGTAACAAATCTTCTCTCAATTCTTAAACTCAAACTCTTTTAATTTTAATTCATTAACTATCAAATAGTTCTACAAAAATATAACTAATAAATTTATAATAAATTTTGCCAGCATCTTTTTAAACCGGAAAACCTTGTTCAAGCAATAAGAAAATAAAATTAGTTGATGGCTCCCTAATAACTCTTACATGTCAAGGAAAAATTTTTATTTTTCCTACCTTTACTATCAACAATATGCCGCATACTTCTAACCCAGTAACAAATCTAAACTCGTGAAGCATCACAACTACAATGTAACATCTTTTACTAATCATTATTTATTTTAGGACTTTGCTATGCAAAGGATAATTGGGCAAGTTAGAGAAAATGATCGACTATACCTGCTTGAATAATATAACCACTTATCTCACTCCATTTCAATTATAAATAAGAATATCATTTGGAATTATCATTATAGACTAGGGTGTCTCTCTTTTGAAATCATTCGATAAATTTTTTTTTTCTTTTTATAAAAACTGATTGAAAACTTTCATTGAGAGTTATTTAAAGTTACTAATCATCATAGAATTTCATTTCAAGAAAGTGAACTATGAAATCCTTGACTATTTTCATGATATTTGAAGACATTTAAAACCCTTTACTATTTCTGCAGCTAAAGTATTTGTCACATTTTTTGATAATTATATTTGAATAACAAAATTTATCTTATCAAATAAAAATCTAATATCATTAATATTATTCCAATGATTATGTCAATGATAAAAATCAATTAGTGACAATTTCACAAAAAGTTAGGACTAATAATATCTCAAATTATTATGAAAAAATTATATATTATTTCTTAAAAAAGATAATATGCCTATAGAACTATGAAATTATTATTATTATTTTGAACCTTAAAAAAACACGCCTTTAAAAGTGCGGCAGGGTAGAGAAGTTTTGTTCAACCTAGATATACATTTTTCTTTCCTGCAAAGATATATCTAATGGATGCCACTCATATATGTCTTTAGAACTATTGAAATTTTTGTTATTATTTCAAACATTTACAGAAGATCCCAAAGACCCATATAAACCTTTAAAAGTGTGGCATGATGGAAAGGTTTTTCAACCAAGGTGTTGCATGCTCTACTCATACACATTTAGTAGTGTGATAGAAGACTCGTTTCTAGCAAAAATTCCTTGTGTATGGCCATAAATTCTTT